TATTTCAAAAAAGAGACCAAAACAAGATTAACAACAATCAAATAATAAATCCTCCTGACATTTTAAGCTTTAAAAAAAAAGTAGTCCAAATAATGAACAATAAAATAACCATTCCATTATGTCATCGTCCTTGAACAAGACAGTACAAGTAGTTGTTGTAGTAGCAGTAAAGATAGATTGCTTCTCGTTGTTGGTATTTGTGATGTGTGTGTGGGTATTTGCAGGTATCCTGTATCACAGTATGTATTTCAATAAGCACACACACTAACACATGTTCAGACAGACATGCGGTAACTGCTACAAATAGGGATTGGATTTAGAGGAAATAAATCACATAACTGGCTGAGTCGTTGGGCTTCCACTGATGGAGCTCCTAATTTAGTGCCTTTACCTTGGTGCCAGCGGAGAACTGGAACACCAGAGGATACTGGAATACTGGACTGGGACCAGAAATTCTGCAAACATGCATGAATAGAACAATTTATAAAAGCACTTTCCGTCTCCAATTGGATGGAAAACTGCCCCACCACCACCCCGAAAAAAGTAAGCCTGCTGACTGTTGCTAGGTGTCTCTCTCTCTTTTTAACTGATGGACACAGAAATAGCACTCTTCCTACTGCGGTCACCCGGCACTCGTGTTTCCATCACACATGTAATTCAATCAGCCCGTCATCTGCGCTAATACCCAACACATGAGCAGCACCGGAATAATCATAGCCATCACTCATCGCTACACAACAATAGTTCATGCTCGCCTGGCTTGCACAGCTGTTGCGATCTAACTGGAGTTACAGTCGGAGGGGAAGATAGCGCAGACGCTGACTTGTTGGTCAATCAAACACAAACTGTTTGAGAGTACATCTGAAAGTGTTTTGTTTTGGAGTTATTTTTCATTCACTTTATCTGCAAACTCAGCTGACAGTCTGTGACACAATAATGCTGTGAGGCTAAATAAGTCCAGACGATATCAGATTCATTTGCAGCGTTACTGTATGACTGTCTTATCTGTCATGAGCTTGGAATACCATAAATCTTGCACCTCCTGGCACATGGCAGGAACCCGTAATCTGTTAATGATGATGTCATGCCTGGCTATACGTGACCCATCTTGGTGAAAATGTCAACAGATTAGAGCACACACTGATAACAAACCTTATCATGTAATATAAGAAGAATTTAAGTATTTAAATAGTTGCTAAAATCGCAGGGTTAGGCATTGTGACTGCTTGTGTGTTCTTCCACCCTGAACACTTTGTTTGCAGGAATGCAAAACAATTCTAGGCAACTGTGATATGCATATTTTTCAATACAGCATGCGTGTGTTCTCTTTAAGGAAACACATCAAACATTTTAAAGATGAATTGCTGTTGGCACGTAAAGGTCTAGGCACAGTTTATCTAAGCGATTTGTCCCGTATGTGGTGACCTCACTGCATGCTCTTTCTCCTTACAAACCACTTCTTTCATCAAACTCCTTCAAGTCTCTCGACATCAAGCAGGCACCGCAAACTCTGTTCATCTCCAAATGCCTCCAGAACACGCCTGCATGCACAGACATGTTTATGTTGTTTTGATGCATGGAGACTATTCATTCTAAAGCCAAATCACAAAAAAAAGAAAAACATATTTTTCCAAATGCAGTATCTGTCTATGTATTACTGCTGCCATCCCACACATGAAGGCTGACATGTCCTGATTCTAAAAGCTTTGACAATTGACATCTGAAAAGGCACAATTACCGACAAACTGAATAGAAACTCAGACCTCAATGTCACCAATATTAATTGGAAAATATTTAATTTACAGGAAAGAATCAAATAAAATCCAATCAAACTATACGAGACACAACACACTGAGGGCCATGAGGGAGCAACACTCCAGAAATACCAGATAACATGTGCTTCAGAGGAAGAACATACCTTATCTTACCTACTGTACAAATGTATAGAAAAGGATCTCAGACTTTGGTCTTATCTGTAGTCCAAATGTTTTGAGACCCTTGACTGTATCATGATGCTGTTTCCACATTTGTCCCAGGTGTACAATATGCTAAGTTAACAATGAAGAAAAGGGCCTTATATGTTATCTGGGATTTACATTTACATTCTTTGATTATTTGCTGGTCATTGATCTACTGTCTCCTTGCATCGATATTGTCTTTGTTGCCTTTATTGCCCGAAATCCGGATAAAGGAGGCTTCACGTCAGCCAAAACTATTTGAGTAGGTAAATATGTATGGTATTTTTAACCTGATCTCTTCCAATTCTGAAATCATATATCCATGACAATAAAAGGTGCATGTTATGAATTTGCATGTAATCAATCATTCATCTTATGACCTGAGTGCTGCATAAAGACCCTCCTCTTTCATTGGTATTTCTAAAAATCTGAATTATGACACTGCAGTTTCTGTATGCTGATTGTATTACAAGTACAGTTAAAAGATGTTAGAGATAAAACAATTGTATTGCCAGCCTTGAACCTCACACCATGCTGTTCACATCAAATCGTATGTCTTTAGAGAAGGCAAGCATTACCATGTTCTACTGTTTTCAGAAAACTCAAGAAAATGGTTTGATGGCTGTGTGAGTATAAAAATACTTCACAATGAAAATGTATCACTGTTGATTTATTTGTAGGTTTAAATACCTTGAATGACAGGTTTGGCTTACTAAAAGGCATACATTTTTCTTTGGTTTGACAGGCACTTCAATTTATAAGGTGCATTAAGCGGATACATCTGAACTTTTTTGTTTTTTAGATCTAGCGATATCTAACACAACCTTTATAATAACGCCTTGTGCAGCATTCTTGCCTTGATTCCTGGAAGGTCACATACTGTTGCCTTTCAATAAACAAACAGTTGCCTTTCAAGAATTCACATTGTAATTACAGAACACGGCACAACATTTTACACCACCCACTGTCATTGCATTTAGAAAGAAAGAAATGACTTTGTGACAACGTTTTTTATCTAGTTATTCTCAGCTTCAGAATGGGTTGTTGTGTTGACACTGAAATTACTGTATGAAGGGCGAGAAAATACAGCAATGTCGAAACACAGTACAAGTGTTGAGAGGTCTATTGTTTTCATTGTGTTGTGCTGATGCCACATCAAATGCTTGGCTGTCCTTTCAAATGCATCAGAAAGCATGAAATTGTTGGCTTGTGGAAACTCTATTTGCAAACAATAGACTTCATTCAAATACATCGTTTTTTTTGCCTTGAGGTGTCGAGTGTGTGATAACTTAGAAAAGGACTTCTAACTCAAAGTGTTTCTTTCTCATGTACAAAAGCTCCAGGATCAGAGGGTTATCGTCAACCCCATTCTTAACTTGTCATTTCTGTCAGAAACATAAAGAGAGCTGACTCAGAAAAGTTTAGGAGTAGCCTTGCTTCGGTCAACCTGCCACTTCAAATGTCACGTGCAGGGTTTGAAAGTTCACTCTAATTTGCTCGACTGCAAACATCCATTAGCGGCTCGGCTCACCTCCAAATGGCTCTGCCCTGTCCCATCAGCGACAGTGAGCACAAAAGGTGACAAATACATAGATTGGTGGGTATGGTGGGGACATACAATGCTCTGGAAGACGAAGTGAGCTGGAATTGTGTCAAATAATTTGGAATTGATTTCAATTTAGGCTAAATAAAGAGCCTCAAAAGCCATTTGGTATACAGGTCAACAAAATACTAAACTCCAAGCTCTTCAGAGATCTGTTCTAGCTCATTTATGTTAATAGCCCTATGTACTAAGGCTTAGCAAAGTATACAAACCGTCCCACCTTCCTTTAATTCATGTTACCCTGTCCTTCCTTTTCCCACTTTCTTGACTTCTGCTACTATCACTAAAGGCAAACCCCCTACAAAACTAACAACAACTTTAAAGACCCTTAAAGCTTCTCTGGTCAATAATTCAATAATAACTTGGGTGAAATTTCTATGTGTAATTTGAAAGAGGTTGCTCATTGTGATTAACCTGCAGAAAAGTATCACTTGACTGTCGTTCCTCTTTGCTTTACAGAGCACTCTAGCATATTGTTCTCATAGCTTAGGTTTAAAAGCTGGCAACTTTATGGTTGTGGCTCTCTTGCTGATCTCATTAACACCATTGTCAGATCGAGCTGCAGCAGTTTTCAGGCTTCAAACACCCACAGCTAGCTTCAGTAAAAATAGCTCTTAATCAAAATAGAGCCATTTTTTTCTCAGGAGTTTGTGGAGACCAAAAACAGAGCTAAAAAGCATCTGACTATTGGGCTAATATTAGTAAGTAGGCCAGAAACTCCAAATGATGGATAATATTGTTATTAATCTCAATGTTTGTTTGGCGGCTTCTTGCACTTACAAAACCTAAATGGAACCGTTTTGTAGTCTTGCAACATGCTATGCATTGGCAAATATATGTGCTCGGCTATTTATCTCGTAGAGAAAGAAAAATGAAAGGATTCAGATTTACTTCTCGGATTCTATATCCATTGTATTCAATATCCCAACCCTACTGCTCCTGTCTCATCAACAACCTTTCAAGCTTGCAAGTTTTTAAGCGTTTTTCTTCTGCTCTTTCATCAGTTAGACCGGCTCGATTCTAGCCCAATCATCTGCTGCCTGAGGAACTCCTAAGCAATGGAGCAGGATCTGGACACGCAAACTGCCACATATGCTTGCTGGTGTACAGAGAAATATTTTGGGAAGAATACGAGTGTTTGAAAGAAACTGTGCATACTGATGACAATATAAATGATGCTGCAGGGCTTTGAGTTTGAGTAGTCTCTCATTAAAACACCAAACAACAATCATGGAGTCCCTCTTAAGCCATCACAGGTGTAAATGGTTGTTCCTTCAAAGAAGGGTAGATTAAAAGAAAGACTTTAAAGAATGTTTTATATGAAGATGTGGTGCACATATTCCAAATTCTAAGTGGCACTGCAAAAGAAGGGAAAGCATATTTTCTCCCAGCTACGTCTATCTCAATCAGACTAATATTTCAAGTATGCATTGACTTACCAGTCCGTCACAGTTGCTGATAGCCACAGAGGCCTCCGGCATGTCGCTGACGTCTCCAGTGAAAACACAGTCCCTGTGGATATGTTCCTTGGCCTTTTCCACAAAGTCCTCATGCCATTCCACAAAAGCCCCCGGGGCCACCAGCCTCCTGTTGGCCCTCAGGCGGAGGTGCAGTTCTTTTCCAAACACAGTGACATTGAAAAACAAGTGCTGCGTAGAGGCGGGGGTGACCGGGGGCATCTCGGGGGCACTGCGGGCCACCCTCCTGCTGCTGCTGCTGCTGAAGGCTGAGGCGGCATCAGCATCAGCATCACCATCACCATTACTTCCACTTCCAGCAGAGACCACGTGAGAAATGTACCGGCCCTGGGAGTCTGTGCTGAATGGCACGATAAGACCATATTCACTTAACTTTCCAGAGAGTTTTTCTGATGGGACAAATAGTGTCAAGTGAGAATCACATTCACAGACCTATGGCAAGCTCTTATGGAAAAAAAAGACTATAAGGGAAAGTTGGCTGAATGACTAAAAAGGCATATTGAATTATAGAGGCCAGAACTAAACACTATTACATGCTTATTTTTATATTAAGCATTTAAAAGCTGTACAATGAAATGATGTTTGTCTTTAAAACACTGAAGTAGAAGGCTATGAGTAATAATTCTGCAGACAAAAAGGGGAGTCAAGTTCAACACACTGCATTGACTTCATCCATAACAGTTAGGCTGTCAGATTTATTATGTGGACCTATTAATGGAATTAGGCCATCATTTTAGATAATTGCCCCTCCACATTTAGACTTTTGAGTGCACAGATTATTGATACAGATTGCAAAAAAAGTAAGTGGATAACTCACCATGTGTTTCTGCAGCGAAAATATGATCCAAAAAAAGTTGACAGAGTGAAAAGCACATCAATAAATACGTACAATCCATAGCGAGGGCTATAGTGTGAAAGCTGCCACTTCAGCGCTGAGTTTTCCTTTCTGTTGTAAACTTTGAGCAAAGTCCTTCCTTGTGAACAAAAAGCGCAAATGCAGGAGAGGTCCTCAGAGTTGAGCTGCAGCGAAGCAGCCGGGCATTTCTGAGCGTTTCCCTCTAGACGCCAAACTGACGGATACTCAAAAGTTGTTTCCAATCTTTTGGCCTGTGCTGAACTGCATAGACCAAGACTGTCCCATCCATTTAGGGAGTTACGGGGGGATATCTGGGGTGCTGATGACGACAACTCTCCCCGGTAAAAACCAGGACGGTTTGAAGAGGTAGCCCACTTTTTTTCCCAACCCGTCTCCGTCCCTTTCCTTCCCCAGATAACTTTTTTTATAAAGGCAGGAGTGCAAGTTAACGCACGCCTACGCTGAGAAAAAAAGTCGGAAGAGTTCAGATAAAGTGTGCAGAGACAGAGTGTCCCGGTGGTGAAACATCTGCCGTCCAGTCGTGCACCATTACGCACCAATGGTTCGGCTGCGGGACTCTCCACTGCTCAACTTGAAGCCACTACCAGCCAACAGTGGGAGCGCCTTCTCTCCACCAGACAACCACATATTAAGCCAAGCGATTTTTTTCTCAGCTCAAAAACGAAAAGAAACGAAAAGTAACTGGAGACGTTATATCATCCTGTCCACCTCCACAGCTAATATCTTACACAAAGTCCCTCTTAAAACGGGTGAAATGTATGCCAGATGCATAGTTATAACTCATATATGTTTACATGAGGCCACAAACACGTCAGTGATAACGCTGCAATAAATCAGGAATGACAGAGGTCAAAACGTTCCAATGCACGTGACTTTGACTTGTTTGGAGAAAATCAAATACATTATTATCTCGTGTTGGTTTGAAAACGGGAATTAGACACTTGTTGAGAATCACAGATATTGATAACACCTAACAACAACCCAGTCAAAAAACTCAAAGGGATATGTAATTTACTTGACAAAATCCCTAAATATTAAATATTAAGAACATTACTTAAAAACAAATCAATATTAAAGAAGAAACAGGAGATCAAATGCATTTTTGTTTCCCAAGTGAACCTTAAAAATAATGCTCATGAGTGCAATTAAACAGTTATTGGTAGCTGTTATTATTCCTTGTATTCGTTTTGTGCTATTATAGACTATAATATTTGAAGCCAAGCCATTTAGACAATGGAGGTGAAGGGAGTTTTCAAAGTCTTTTTTTCAGTAAACTGCCACTTGTGTCACTTAATGTATACTGTCAACTGCAGCTTAGTGAATGTTAATACATCAAGAGAGAAATGTACACTAAAGACTTGGAAGATCACCTACACTGCTTTTACTTTTTATATGAGCCAGTGGAGGACAATTTAAATCTACCAAAACACTGTGCAACGTACATATTTATTTGAACATAGACATGAAAAAAATCCAACCCATCCATTTACAGCCAAATTAAGTGCTTTCAAAGGTAAGGTAATGTGATTTTTACGAACTAATCATGTTCTATGTCGATTGAATACAGTCTAGTATAAACAAAAGCAAGCCTTGCATGATCCTAATTAATGACATGTTGCCGTTTTCATCTCAAATATTCATAATCTGGGCTAATCCTGCAGATGTCACTGTGAGCATATGTTCCATTTGCAGAAAGGGAACAAATCCAACACCATCATTGGAGTTTGAAAAGGTGTGAAAACTCTCCAGTAGATTTCATCAGAGGAATGACAGCCTGTTAAAACTTTGGATGACTACTCAAGCAACCAGGACTTTTTTTTTTGGCCTCGGCTCACCCTGCTGGAGTCCAGACTTTGTTAGACATGACCACGCAGAGACTGAACCAACAACTCTTGAATCCTTCTCAGAGGAAGAGAAGGGGGTTGGGTTGAAATGAGTTTTGACTTTAAGGTACTTCTTTTTTTTAGGGAAAAGGTGTCTAGACAGGACATTATTTTGCTTCCACAGTTCCTCGACTGTGTCTGGGCTATGTTGATTTGCGCGACCTCCCCCATGCAGCGCCATACTCTCATTCTGTGGCTAATTAGCTCCATGCTCCCAGGATGGTCAATGTAGAGCAGGTGTGGGTTTTTATGCAGTCATGATCCCCCCAGGGCCGCAATGAGAGGATTGGATGCTGGTCCAGAGTTGTGCATTAATAAGCCATGGAAACTAACCACAGCATTAAGAGATGGAAACCATTAACGGCCTTGTAAGAAGTTTTATGCTATTTTTCCATGCAAACTGTTTGGAGTGTTTTTTGTTGTTTTTGTTTCGTTTGTGTCTAAAATGCCAGGGCGACAATCCACAATATGGCATCTAGTATTCAATTATAAGTATTTTTTTCCCTTTAAAAAATGAATCGCTTCACTGCAGGCTGTGGTTACATACACACACAAGAACAATTTTCTACTACAGTGCTCGCATTAGAACTTGTTGTTCCTCACAACAGGGGTGTAAAATAAAAACTTGAATACACTCTTAGAAACAACCCAACTGTTAAGTACTTTAACTTAGCTGAACAATATCCACTTGAGACAGCCAGTCCTAACAGAAATGTGATTTATTCAACAATAAACACTTTATTTTCCATTCCTTACTCCACAGACGCTTCAAACTACTTTCAACTGTACTCGTCTGAATGAAACTGACACTTTTTAATCTGCTATACAGTAGTTGGGCCAGTCTTTGAGGGTAGAGCGGCAGGAAAAAAAAGTGTCTTCCCTCCTGTTTCCAGCAATGGGGAGAAGTTAAAGAAGTGTGCATGAGTTGTGGAAGCCTCAGTGTGTGCTGTAATGCGGTCTAGCCATGCCAGCGTGCTGAGAAAATATGTGACTGTTCATCTCTCGAGATGCAGGGAGATGCAAAGCAGCTGCAAGTCTGCCCGGCAGCTTGAAGGAAGAGAGAAACGTCTGCCAACTTAAGAACCAGCGACTTAAAGAAGTTGTTATTATCGTCCTCCACCCCGTGGTAATGGAGGGATTTTGACTCACTTGACCTTCCTTAGAATTGTGATTACTGTAATGAGTGTGGGAGCCTTTACTGTAAATGCAGCTGCAACAGCACTGTAATATGTCTCAAAATATTTTTTTGTTTTTTCACATCCACCAAAGAGTTGTATGTCTGTTTGTTTTCTCATATCACAAACACTATAGTTTTTAATATTTATTTGGGGTAATGCTAAAGGAATAGCTTTACATTTTAGGAAAAACACATTCACTTTCCTGCCAAGAGATAGATGTTACTAAAAACAAAATATTTGCTTTGACTATGCCCTAGCATAAAATATAAAAGATCTGACTGCTGTTTGATAGGAAATCATAATTTCTCTGTGCCTTTTAAAACTGTAACAAATCACTGATGGAAAATAAACACATGAGATGTGATGACGCTATGATTAAGGTTCAGTTATGATTTAGGGGAAGATTATGGTTTCAATATTTAAATCAGTGTTCAAAGTAAGGTGACCTTTGTCACTATAGTTACAATAATAAACATGTGGTTAAGACTTACCCATCCCCCTGTGTGTTATGTAGCTTTTTCTACATGTAAACGGTCTGCAAAGTCACAAACCCTCAAAGTACACCCTGTAGCGAGTAAAACTCTAACGGCCCCTACACACGGCGGCGTGCGTTGCCGCTTCAACGCTTCTGCCCATTCACTTTGAATGGGGTGACGTCACGATTCGCCGAACTGCATTGTGGGAGCAAAGCGTAGCTTCTCTCGCGGTACTTGCTGCAAAAGTAGAGCAATGTTCTACTTTTGCCGCCTCGATGGAGGCGTCAGCCAATCAAATCCCGCGTATGCAAATCTGACATTACAAGCGCTAGCCAATCAAACCGCGTGTATGTTGGGAAAGCCAGACAGCAGTTATTTCCCATATGTCAAAAAATGGAGGAGAAAATTATCATGGCGGTACTATATGACCACCAGTCCCTCTTTACATACAGGGATACAAACCGGAGGAGCCAGGCATGGGGGGAGGTGGCAGAGACAGTGGGTGAAACTGGTAGGTTTTCGCCTGTTTGGGGAGTTTATATCCAGTGTACTTCGTTTGAATGGACAGCTAGCAAGCATAGACAGTATATTTAGCCAGCATGGATGTAGCATGAGCTTTGCATGTCCGGGGCGGGACATTCATGTGATTGGTTGTTGGTCGCGTTGTTCGTAAAAAATCCCCAAGCTTCAGACACGCCCACCGCCAAGCGGTAACGCACGCCGCCGTGTGTAGGGGCCGTAACCCAGAAAATACCTGTCGCTGCCCTGTCATACACACACACTCTCTCTCGGCGGCGAAACTGTGGCGCGCTTGCGGAGCTTACACACGGCGGCGTGCGTTGAAGCTTGCCGGCATGCTTGCCGGCATGCGTGTCTGACGCTCGACCAACAACCAATCACATGAATCTCCCGCCCCGGACACACAAGCACGCGGTTTGATTGGCTAGAGCTTGTACTGGCATATGATTCGATTGGCTGACGCTTCCGTCGAAGCTTCAAAAGTAGAACATTGCTCTACTTTTGAAGCGAGCAACGCGAGCTTTGCTCCCACAATGCAGTTCGGTGAAGCGTGACGTCACCCCATTCAAAGTGAATGGGCAGAAGCGTTGAAGCTTCAACGCACGCCACAGTGTGTAAGCTCCGTTACACAGGTGCCCCGCGTTTGGGGGTGCGGGTGCTAGTGGAGCCTCGCAGATGGGGGTGCTGCAGCCCGCTCAATACCCCCCCTTCCCGCGTCCATGGTGCTCAGGCTGAGTTTCGCGATGTCTCGCTGTCTCGCAGACCCCAAGCAGCAAACAACACCAGTAATACAGCTCACACTGTCCCCTCCTCACAGCAGCGAGTCACGCAGCATTCTCATCTGTTTGTCATTACTGGTGTCCTTTTTTGGTTGCTAACGCCATTGTAACATATAATCACTGATGTTCCGCTGTAACGGTGGACTCATCAGAACAGAGTGGGCGAGCTGACCAATCAGAGCAC